TAGGACGGCGTGGCTCAGGAAAGGAGGCCGTGTGCTGGAGGCAAAGCTTTGCACAGCAAAGTCCAAACCGTCACAGCACTGGGCTTCCAGGCGTGCAGTCTTGTGCAAACGTTATCTGCTGCTCTCTAGAACCCAGGGAGGTGAGAAACTCCAGTGCCAGCACTTGTCTGACTATGCCCAAGGAGGGATGTGCTCTTTCATAACCCAAGAATTAAGTCTTTGCGCATTTTCTTAAATCTTTCTCCTCAAGCCTAGAAAGCAGGATGCCTACTTCTTCACCTTCATCTATCCTTTCAAAAATCACTTATCAACTACATATGGACCAAGTGATAGGCTGGGATTTGCTTCAGAATTGTGTAGGACAGGGAGCGGGGAGGAAAGGAACAGATCAGGCAAGATGGGGTGTGAGCTGATGGTTGCTGAAGTGGGTGGCCAGGCATGGACAGTCATGGCGTCTGCCTGAATGCGAGGACACTGCTGTCCATCACTGCACCCACAGTGGGCACGTCATATGATGTATCTCAGGTATACGTGAAAGTCCCACGATGAAGGAGCCATGCCATCAGCTGTCAGGTGTGGGTAAGTTAATGCTCCCAACTCATCTCCCTCCCCTCCCCCATCCTATGCCACTAGGGCACAGCCAAGCATTCTGTCAACTCACAGATGCTCCCACCTGTGCCACCGATGTGACAAATCGAGTGCACACCGACAACTTCATGTGCAGTATGACTGAACTGGACTACGTGAGGAGGCTGGTAATAAAGCGTCTGAGAACCAGACTGCGCCTTTACTGTTCAAGTCTCAGTGAGCAGAGATTAGCAGAGATTACTGAAAAAGATCAGACATGAGGCATGGCTCAAGGTAGCTTTTGATCCCTTTTTTGTCTTTTTTTTTTTTGGAGATAAGGTCTTGCTATGTCAGGCTGCCCTTTAGCTATGTAGCTTGGAAACTTGCAGCAATCATCCTGCCTCAGCCTCCTGCATGCTGGAATGCCACTATGCCCAGCCCCAGATCTCTTTTTAAAATGGTTTTTATTTTTTGTCTTTTTGAGACAGGGTTTCACTATGCAGTTCAGGCTAGCCTTAGACTCACTTTGTAGCCCAGACTGGCCTTGAACTTGTAGTGATCCTCCTGCCTCAGCCTTCTGAGTGCTGGGATTATAGGTGTGCACTACCAGGATGGGCCTGAAATAGCTTTTCAAATCAGAAAAACTGATTTCCTTTTGTGCTGTGCAGTAGCACTGCTGTCCCCATTTCTGTCGGTACCTCGACAGTTGTCAGTGAACATGAACTCATTTTGTTCTCTGAAACATCGGAGAAAGTTCACCTAGCAAAGGCATGTGGAGTGTGGTAAGACCCATCTTCCGCGTTCTTGCTCACGCGCCACCAGAGCGGGACAGCAGGCTTTGCTTACTGTTAACAGGAGGCATCAGAATTTTGGTTGTAATTGTGCTCTTCAGAGTGCTTGTGTAGCACGCTCTTAGAAACTATCCCACATGCCTTGACCATGCTCCAGTCCCAGTGGCCCCTCAGAGCGACAGAACTGCGGCAGACATGGCTCTGAGCAGCAGTAACGAAGTCAGAAGGAGCCTGCTCTAAAGCCTCACCAGCTTCCTTGCAGACTGCCCAGAAGCGCCGGTTTTACCAACTCTCTCCAACACCAACTGCTCTGTGCCATGAAGGGAGGTGGGAACACCACAAGCAAGGGCGGATGTGTGAAAAACCCAGGTGCCATAAAAGAGGAAAGGTAGGCGCCAAAGGTGAGTGACGTCAGATTATAAATCCATGTGCGATCAGACTGATGGAACTCAGGCCACTGAGGGCTGTTTAGCTGAAGGGGACATACTAGGCCTGTGTTAAGCAGAAGCAACTCTAGTTTTCCCTTCCAGGAGACAGGATCTCACTGTGTAGTTCAGGCTGGCCTTGAACTCACGGCAATCCTCCTGCTTCAGCCTCCCCAGTGCTGGGATTACGACTATACAGATTCTTGATGTCCTAAGGCAGTGATGGCAAACCTTTAAAACTTTCAGTAACAGCCTGCTGCAGCACATGTGCTGTAGGTTTACCGCAACTGTCCTAAGCAAAAAATTAGGCCTAACACCCAAAGTAGCAGGAAAATTTGGAAGAAAAAAGTTCAGTCCACAAGGTGGAAGCAGGTCAGTGAGAAGAGCTCATGGCCTCAGGGGGCTTGGTACCCGGACTTTTTTAAACCTGAGGGTTTGGGGTGGGATTGAGCATTTGGTTTGAGATAGGACTCCTGCCAGTGAGCAGTTGACTAGGGTCCTTTGTTAGGTGGTGGTTTTTGATCTTTTGTGGCTCTTGAGGGTCAAGTCAGCAGTTACTGACATGGACATTAGGGCTGGGGTTGATCAAGCATTGTAGACGACTGGGTACATGCCCAGAGACTTACTGCATAGAAGCTAAGTTGTTATCTGGTTGTCTCTCCCCACTGTATTTGGACATGGGTGTTCCAGTCCTAATGTTCCTAAGTTAACTCAGTAGGTAAATCCAGTCCCAGGAAGGGATCATCCGAAGTGAGCCTTCTCTTCTTTCCAGGGCTTTTTCCCTGGGAAACTGCCTCCAATACAGCAGCCCAGAAAGTAGTTTCCAAGGCAGGAAGGACTCTTTCTCTAGCCATCTCCTCAGATATCTCCTGTCTCAACCTTACCAAAAGACAGAATCCCCAAATATGTATGGTAATGATCTCTTTTCTGCTTCTGAAAGTGGCCCTCATTCCTAAGATTATGGAGTTTGCGCTACTCCTGGGTCTGGGAGAGTTGAAAGTGGCCAGAGGAAGGCTGAGCCACCTCATTCAGGGCAGAATTAGAAGGGGAATAGTTTGAGTCTTCAGTGGTTGATAATGGCTAACTCCCTCCTGCACAGAGTGACAGCTAGGAGAGCCATCCCCGTTTCTAAGAGAGCCAACAAGTTCGCTTACTCCCTTAACTGGGATGCCTGACCTTTGAGCTTGTTGCACATTTGAATGGTAGATACTGTACAGCACTGTTCTTCCAAAACCATGCAGAGGGTCCCTGTGCTACAGTTAATTTACCTATGTCTCCGTGAGGGATCCCAGCGAGGGATCCATTTGATCTTGTAAGACCTTTATGGCAGTAGGATAGGACAAGGTCCTCAGCAAGCTTGCAGGAGAGCCTGCGGGAAAGTGTCATTCTGTAGCTCTTGTTCCTAACCCTGTGGCAGTTCCTATGCCTGCTAAGACAGGAACTAAGAGTAATTGTCATTTTTAGTCAATGGAGGTAGAAAGAGGAGGAAATGGCTGCTTGTTGGGAACAATTTTTGCATCGGGGCTAGATAAGCTACGGTATAAACTCCTGTCCAATTGGAAGGAAGGCACAGGAGGGCTTGTTCCTGCAAAGAACACACTCAGGGTAGTAAGGCAAGCAGCAAAATCAAGGAAGGAGTCGATGCCTATCAGTTATGAAAGTGCTAGGTCCTCTGAAGTACCAAATGGCAAATGCCATTCCTGTTAATGGCTGGAAAGTTGTGGCCGATGCACACCTTGTGTCTTGTTTTATTCAAAGTACTGTCTCTGTGCATGAAGGAAAGAACAAGTGCCTGTGATTGACAGTGATGTACTGGCGCTGAGTGGCTGGCGTAGAGCTAGCAGCCGTCATCCAGGCTAAGATCAGGACCTTGAGAAGGGGACGGCCTTCCCAGGTGTCAGAAGGCAGAATTTTTATTGTGTTCAGCGATAAAAGGGTCTGTTGAAGGCAGATTCAGACTGGTTTAGAGAAACCACTGTGCTGGGGGATTCAACCTCTAGACTTACCATCTACGATACAGGCAAAGTTACAGGGAGCAGGACTGCCCGTATGGTGACAGTATGATGGTGATCTCTAGCCTGCATGTAGAATGGTGCTCCAGTGATGAAGAAGTCTGAAAATACTGGACCAAAGTTGTCATGAGCAAGTGGTTTATATTTGGCTGTATATATTTGTATGAGAACTGCCAGGAGCAGTAAGGGCTGAGTAAGGGCTCCATCAGTAATGAGTGTAGAGATGCTGTATGAATTTAAAAAAAAGTGCTGTATCAAGAGTTCAATCACAAGGCTCTGCAGTTATCCCTAGGTAGTTCGGCTGCGAAAAAGAGCTAGGCACAGCCAGCTGGGGATCGGTGAGTAGACTCTAAGAGTGTGAATCCTCTGCCGTAGGTAGAGCTGAGGAAATGGTTTGAGGCTGCCAGCAGGTTGGAGACTAACAATCATAGGTAACAAGGCATATCAAGCAGCAAGGAGACTTTTTATAAACCATGTTAGAATTTTGATGGAGCAAGGAAATTGTGTAAGGCACAGAGACTGAGCCACAACAAGAGGGAAAATAACCAAGTGAGAACGCAGAACAGAAACCCAGCGAAGAGTAAGCGCACATTTATGCTGGGATAACTCAGCAGTCCCAGCTCAAGGAGTCTTCACTGCTGCCCAGGTACAGTTTGCTAAGTCTCCCCAGAGCAGTAAAACCCAGTTTTTGAATAGGTCAGAATTTAAAAGATGTCTGAAATACAATCCATTAAAGCAGTTTAAGTTATACTGAAGCATCTGGAAAGATCATCATTCTTTGTACTCATCAGAAGATGCAGAGCTGACAAGGCACTGCCTCACGATAACTAATGAACACGAGCAACAAGTCAGTCGTGACGACACATCGTAGAAATGCGCAGTGAAGCTTTCTCAAAGTAGCAGCCCAAGGCCCTCAAAAGGGCCAAGGGTCAAGCCAGAGGAATTACTGGCATGAGACTCCAGATTAGAGTCCCTGAAATGCCAGTTCTAAACTGGGTCCTTTTTCGGAAGGTACTATTGGGACTGATGGAGAAGCCTGAATGGGTGCTACAGATTAGATGGCAGCAATGTATATTCACTTCCTGACTTTGATGGCTGGTGATGGAGAAGAATATCCTCATGTGTAGGAATTCTACCTCAAAAGTATTTACGGTAAAAGACATGAGAACAGCCACTCACAGAAGTTTCAAGGCGTAAAAAAAAAGTTGTTTAGAAATAAAAATTTTATTTAAGTAAAGCTTTATTTTACAATAATTTTTTTTATTCTTGAAGAGTGGGGAGTTCTTCCACAATGTCTGCCAGGTAGGAGACTTTTTGGCTGTAGCTTGTCCTCATTAATTTCAAAACAAAATATTTACATGAGACCACATCTACGCTGAGCTCAGGGCGGGCATCTCAGAGCACCTGGGCTGCTTGACTGGCTTCCTGTGCTGGATTCACCACACTGGTTGCTGGGATGTCACTGGCTGAGGGACCGCTGAAGAGCTTCATACATTTTTTGATCCTTGGGGAAGGAAAAAAGCAGAACACAGAGCTAAGCAAAGGAGGCTATGAATAATATGGTGTGTCCACAGGTTCACATGCAGAAGTCCTAGGGTCTGGATATGAATATGTGGCTGTACTTGCAGATACGGCCTTTAAGGAGGTGATTAAATGTGAAGGCAGATGGTTGGCCCGTAACCCGAGTAACTGGTCTCCCAGTGAGAAGAGGTAGTTAAGACACAGATACACAAAGCGGGAAGACCATGTGAAGACATTAAAGCTCCCTGTGTGAGAACAGACGCTCAGAAAAACCAGTTGCTACCTTGCTCCAGGCATCAGATCTCCAGAACAGTAAGGAAACGAAATTCCTGTTAAGTCCACAGTCCGTGGTGCTGTTACGGTGCCCCTGGCTGAGGAACCCACTGCTGTGGGTGGAAGCTTCCACCCAGATTTTGGTAGAGCTGTGCTCCTGAGAAGGCAGTGAGTGAAGCTATGAGAATTAAAGCCCACAGTGCAGTGGAGACCGCAGAAAACTGGAGAAGCCAGCAACATGGAAGGTCCACTGAGGAGGGCCGCAGACACAAGGGGAGGCACCAAAAGAAAGACCACGGTAGCTGTGTCCGGAGATGCCGCAGTGGCAGGGCTGCCCAAGCCTCACCTCTCACAACTTGCCCTGGTCGCCAGAACAGAGCCAGAGGAATTGACGTGTGCCCCGCTGGGTTTTGGTATTGCTTTGGTGCCATTCCTTTCTATCCTACTCCTCCCTTGTGGAATAGGGATGTTTATTCTGTTCCAATTTGCCTTTAACTTTTACAGGGAATCACTAAGAATTTGCCTTGAGTTTCAGAGGAGACTTTGAACCTGAACTCTTCAGCAATGCTGAAACTTAAGATTCTGGTGATTCTTAAAGATGGACTAAACACATCTCAATAAAGAGATGCACACAGTCTCCTGGGCCAGGGGCAGAATGTTATGGTTTATAGGTCGGTGTCCTCCAAACGGCTCATGTGCTGACAGGTGGAGCTCTTGGGAGAGGACTGGACCTTGGAGGCACCAGAACTCATCTGCTGTTAGGAGGCAGGGCCTGGCTGGGGTGGGTCACCGAGAGTAGGGCGTAGAAGAGTGTATTTCCCTTCCCAGCTACTCTTCAGCTCCATTTCCTGGCTACCATGCATAAGCAGCTTCGCTCCACCTGAATCGTTCCACTATAAGGTTTCTATGTTTGAGCTTGCCCAACAGCGACTAAAACTTCTACAACATGAGCCAAGACAAACATCTCCTTTAAGGTGCAGGTGTCAAGTATTTTGGCCCAGTGATAAAGAAAGCAACTAAACCATTAAAAAAAACTGAAGTTAGGCATAGGTATTTAAAGACAGTTATCAGGTGAACAACATTTGATACTAGAGATTAAAGAGTAGGAAGGTAGGAATCAAGGAAGAAATGTCATTTGTCACTGATGGATGGGATATGGTGCCTGACAAGGGGACACTGCCTCTAGCAATTTGTATCTCCTGTGGAAACTCAATTTCACAAGAGTCACATGCCTGTATAGAAGAAAACTAGTGGTTTCCTTTGGAACTTTTATGATTATAGTTTATATACATAATTACTTGAAATCTAGAACTACTACAAGGTAGTTAAAGGTGATTGACAGGTTTTATTTTGGAGTCCAGAGAAGGGAAGGTTAGCTGTAACAAACCCTGTTCCTTCCCACCTTTCCTTGACCAAACAACTCCTTCCCTGATAGTAAAGGAACATTTTAAAATCCCACTTCTACTGCCCAGTGGTGGGAGGCCTCTCCAATGAGAAATCTTAAAAAGTTGGTTCTTATGAGAGGCCCAGAATTTCTAGATTTTGTGTTGAGCGCTAACCTGGACATATATCCTCAGCTCTGGGAGGACTGTTCCTGAGTGATTATCGAGTTGATGTTGTCACTGTGGGTCCTGGGGATCTCCACAACCACCTCAGGCTCCAGTTCTTCCATAAATGGAGATGAGGTAACACGCACCCTCTCTTCCTTTTCTCATAGATGATCTGATCTCTCTTTTCCTCTTTCGTATTTACACATTTCAGACCCTTTAGTCACACCTCTGCATTTAACAGTATTCTAACCCTTGGTCCTCACTACTCCTGGTTGCTGAGCCTTTGGATAAAAACTTACATAGCTATGTAGCAAGGCTCTGGTGGAAAAGGCAACTTTCCTCAAACCGCACCTGTCCTGCTTTTTCAGTGACTTGGCAGTAATGCAGGGTGGAATGTTCCCTATTTCTCAGTGACCAGGTTGTAAATATTTCCATATGGATTTTCTATTATTAATGTTACTACGGTTTTGTTCTGAAATAAAAATTCTGAATGTAAGTAAAAACAAGAAAGCCAACTGTGTTACATTTTTCTTTTGAAGATGTAAAATATTTACAAAGTTCAAGCTTTCTCACGAGTCCCTCCTCTTCACATGACCAGTGTATCTTCCTAGATTTCCTTTCTGCTTATATAAAACTGCTATAATTTATTATGTTTTACATAGATGGTAGAGTATTACAATGTAACTCCTAACCCGTTACGTAACAATGTAATTGGGAGAGAGTCTTCAGTTTGTAGTACAGTAACATTATAAAGGATTATATAGAAGTTTCAAGCTTAGGCATTATTATATATAATGTTCCAGTGAATTTTAAACTTTAGATGGATGTGCATAGCTCTGATGATAAATTCACAAAAAGAAGTTGGTGAGTCTCAGCTTTTGGTGCAACTGTAATCTTGGCAGCTACGTCAAACTGTCATCCAGAAGGGCTGACTAATGGACCCTCCCCTTCCCCCAGCTGTGTGTGAATGTGCCTATCTGTTCCTACTCTGAGAAAATGTTTTACAAGCCCCCTAGTCTATGCTATTTTTGGTATAGTAGCCCTGGCAAAGACACAGAGAAAGAGTAACTATTGCATTTAAAATAGAAAACCAATCCTGGAAGAGGTAAAATTAAAACTTTTCCACCTTTCAGAAAGTTCCAAAACTGCCCACAAGATAGTTATTAGTAGCATACTGAATTAACCAACTCTGCAAACGGATAACAGGGCCCCTGCTTCTCAACACTATTGCTAAATGACACCAAGATGAGGCTGTAAGCATGTTTCTTTTAGAACCAGATGAAAGAAATTCTTTTATACATAATTTTCTTATTATAAAATAGTGCTTATTAGAGAAATATGAGAAAATATAAATTAGCTGAAAATGAATAATTACTCTTACTACCCTAGTCTCCTACATGTTTTATATTACGATTTTTTAAATATTTAATGTTTTGGAGCTAGGCAATGCACTCCCATGATTCATGGTTTAAGAGGATGAGATGGTCCTCCTCTCCCACCCGTGAGCAGCCACACTATGGCTTCTAGAAGGGCCCTGAAGAGCCACTGATTTTCCAAACAGAAAAAAAATCTCTGGACCTTAAAATTAGTCCTTAGTTTTTTTTTTTTTTTTTGGTTTTGGTTTTTCTCCGGTACCGGGAACCGAACTCACGACCTTGCGCTTGCCAGGCAGGCGCTTTTGCCGCTGAGCTAAATCCCCAGCCCCAGTCCTTAGTTTTTTAAAGGATTAAATACAATAAAAATCAGTTTGGTCATCCATTTGCTTCATAGTAATGGTTCAAAATTCATACTATAGTACTAACTTATTCAAAAAAAGCAAGACCCTGGAAAAAAGGTGTAGTGATATAAAGATAGCTACCAAGGTCAAAGAAAAGAATGAAGAATGTAGACACAGACTCACGCATGTATGACCAAAGGATTCTCAAAAGGAACATGGCAGTTCACTGATAACAGAAATGTTGCTTCAACAAATACCAGAACAGATAGCCACGCAGATGTGGATAAAGGTTAACCATGACCTGGCCTATGTCACTAGTATAAAAATTACAGTTGCTCTTTTTCCTCCAATTCTTCACCTGCAGACTCAACCTAATGCAGGTTAAGAATATTCTGGAGAAGAGCTGTTTCTGTACTATCCAAAACTGTTTTCTTCCCATTATTTCCTTAATAATACTATAAAACCACAATAAGGCTCCAACAACTAATTACCAGCATTAACTGCACTGGGTATGACTAGTGATGTAGAGTTGATTTAAAATAACACAAAAGGATGGGTATACATTATGTACAAATGCAATGCAATTTTACATGAGAAAAACGAGCCGATACTAACAGAAAAATAGGCCTAAACATGAAAGTTAAAACTGTAATACTTGCTAAAAAACAAAACAAAAAAATTTGCGAACTTGCATAACCATAGCAAAAAAAATGATGAACTATATCTAAATGAAAAACTACTGTTCTCCAAATATCCTTAATATATATTTCTGATAAGACTTCAATCCAGGATTAATCACAAATTTTTACTGTAATTCAATTATGAAGAAATAGCTCAATAAAGAGCAAATGATGAGCCAGGTGCGGAGGCACATGCCTATAATTCCAGCACTTGAGAGGGTGAGGCAGGAGGACTGTGAGTTAGGAGGCCAGGGTGGGCTACATAGTAAGTTTAAGGCCAGCCTGGACTGTACAGTGAAACTGTCTCAAAAACTAACCATGCAACAAACAACAAAAAACAACAAATAATGATAAAAAAGCAGACATCTAACCTATAAACATAAAGATGTTCCAAATTTTAGTCATCTGAAAAATGCAGATTTAAACCACAGTGATACATTACGTACTATTCCACATCCAGCAAAATGTTAAAGACACAATATATGCAAGTGGTGTTAACAAAGTAGAGCAACGGGAGCTACCCGAAGACACCAACAGAACTGCCCTTTGGAAGCAGGCTGTGTGCAGGATCTCCACAGAGTAAAACACACACACTACACAACCCAGCAATTACTCACCTTGGCATTTAGTCGGGAGGAACAAAGATACAAGTTTATATTAATATGCGCCTGTGTGTGTATATATATATGTACATATATGTGTAAAATTTCCAGATAATTTTATTCATGAAAATCTGGAAACAACCCAAGTGTCCGCCACTGGTGAAAGGATAAGAACTCCACAGTACACATATACAATGGCACATTGCTCAACACAAAAAAAGACAAAACTCCTGAAAACATGTCACACTGACGAATCTCAAGGATACTATTTGTGTGAAATAAGCCAACAAGTATACACCCGGTCATTCCATGCACCAAATGCTCTACAGCAGGTTAAATTAAAAGTTCAATCATGGAAATCAGATCAGTGGGGTTTGGGAAGAAGCCCAATATAAAGGACACACACAGTTCCACAGTGATGCAAACATTCTGTTCTTTTGACTGCAGTGCTGCCGACCCTGGCCACAGCGCAAGGAATGGCGTATGTGAGCTTGTGTACTGTCATACATTAACTAAACTTCAACATGAAAAGTAAGCTCAGAGGGTAAGAGGAAAATGTGGAGTGATGCCAGTATGTCCTGAAACTCTGGTGGAGTAAGAAATAAGTTCAATGAAAAGAAGAATATTATTTCTCTGGGAGAACACTGTAGTACCAGTCCCTTTTTGATCAGATGACAAGGACAACAAGTTTAACTCCAAGACTTTCTGATTTCAATTTTATTCAAAGATGTTCAGTAAAATGAAAATATCTTCTCTGCTACGCTGAAATGCCTGAGCGGTAAAGGCGGACTGCTGTCTCTCCCACGGTGCTGACGGTGCGGGGAGGCTCACTGTGACTGCTGCAGTGGGAAAGCTGTGTGCCCACCGACAGTTCACCCACCCTAGTCCCCGGCCACTTATTTAGGTGAAAGTGACACGACGGTCAACTCTCAGAACACATGGACCTGAGCGCTGAAAACGGGCCTTGTTCCGTGCCAACACTTCTACACTCAGAGTTTTAAATCCAGAGTCATGAGAACTGCCTGGGTAATACATGGCTTATGATTGAAGGGAAGGTCTTACGATACTGTCAGTGAACAGATTCTCATGGCTAAGGCACGTTCTGGAAATAGCACAATGCCAAGTGATGAAAGTTACCACAATAATATCAGATTCAGGCATTTTTTAGAGCTGAGTGTTTGCTGCTGCCTGTCTTGGGGAGTGCCACAAATAACCTGACTGCATTGAACAGCACCAGTTTAAACTTACCACAGACACCACACCTGAGCACAGTAAGAAATGAACAGGTAGAACACGGCATTTTGGGTAAGGAGAAGTTAGACTGTTCACCCTTTTCCTGCTTTACTGTGAAAATATTTTTACCTCCCTGAAATGTAAGCATGAACTTCACAGCTTAGTTTGGGTATGCTTAAGTTCTAACAAAATAAGAAAAATTTGTCAAAAAAGATATAGGAACTCAAGTAATACTTCAGTGAAACTCATTAGGAATTATGAGATTGTGTGTGTTTACTCTCTCAGTAAGTTGTGGCCTGAGAAGGTAGTAAGAACTGTTTTCTAGTCAAAATAAAAAACTGTCAGGAACACACAAAGGCCATTATCGTGCTTTTTTCAGATCAAAATGTAACATGAAGTTTCAGAAAGCAGAAAGCGCACAGAAAGCATGATCTATAACATAATTTCACAATTTGTGGGTTCTTGCCTAATGGTATCACTTCAATGTCTTTTATCTTGAAACTGAGGAGTGTTTCTTACCTTTACTGATATAGATGGTTTCACTTTCTTAAAAGCTTCTTCAAAGTGCATATGACTAATCTTGAGCTCACCTGCGGAGCAAATACACACACAACACAGCTGATCCTACTGGGTTACAACTTAAATTTCTCTTGGAAAACATCAAGCCTTCAAAAGAACACGGCGATCAGGAGCATGATGGGCTCTTCTTCAACATAACAATCAAACCAGATATATTTTGCTCATCAGATTTAGTCCTGTACCAAAAGTATTCATCATTCCTAAGTAGATAACACTTCGCTTGGCTCTCCTTTGCCGGGCCACTATTTATGAAAAAGAACCTGAATTGTTAGTAGAATTCCAGTACATTTAATTGGGGATAGAACAGAGTTTTCCACAGTATATATTTAAGAGCACATTAAGATATAGAGTATTTAGCTATTAGGGAGTTACAATATCATGGTATGTTTTATATAAATATAAAATATTACAATACTGTGTCAGGGATTGTGATTCTTTACTAAGGGAAATAAAACTGCTAACTTACACATGGCTTGGAGAAGAATGTTCATAGAGTAACTTACCTGATGAGAACTTTATCTTAAAATAGTGAACTTTTTACACAGACGTTACCTCAGTATATGTAGCTGCAATGCAGGCACAAATGTGTCTGTTTTAGCCAAAAGCACCCAAATGGTAAAAGCGAAGACACTGTCACACGAAAGTGTGACGCAAAGCTGCTGCAATGGACCCAAATCATCAGTCAAATACGCAGACTTGGGGTTTCCTGTTTGCTTCACTTTACAGTGCTGGAGCCTGAACTCAGGCCCACCACAAGCAGAAGGCAAGCACTCTACTCCTCAGGGTTTGGGGTGTAAACACCAAGAAACACTCACACCAGTTTTGTATTTTGAAATTTCCAACGTACGAACAGCTTTTTCAATGTTCACTTTTCCTGTGTTCTATGCATTTTTAACCTCTCCAATTTAGGTTGTATTTAACAGGCAAGTAGGTATCACCTTAGTAAAAGAAAGACTTTTACAACTGTTAAGCAGACAGAACCCATGAAAACACTGCATTAACTCACTGTCTCTAACTGCTTGTAGGTGATGATGATATTTAATGTTATTTATTAAGAGAAGCACTGAACAGCTTTGTCATTACTATAATAGAGAGGCTGCACAATATTGCAGAGCAGTTTCTAAGGGTGGGGAAAATGGCGTCTTTTTTTATCACAGAAAAAGGATGCCAAAAATAGCCATTTCCCAGGGCAATAGTGCTTTTAATGATAATTAACTAAACTAAGAGAGTCTGGAGAAAACTGTACCTTTTCCATTTCCACACTTTTCTCTTGCCATTTCCTGTCTCAGGGCACAGAGAGAAGCTTCTCGTACCAAAGCAGAGAGGTCTGCACCCCTGTAACAAAAGATGTGCTCTTGTTTATTTATTATTAGATACTGCAAAGCTCAGAAGTCAGATGGCAATTTTCTCCTGTCCATATGAAGCGATGAGGAAGAAGACTGACCAACAAGCTGGGAAAACCTGATTCGGGTACACACAAAGGCAAGGTCAGCTCTTCTTTCTTTCATTGGAGTTTATATCTAGGTGACTCCCAAGAGCCTCCTGCTCCCACAGGCAGCACTGAGAAGAGAACCACAGGATGCTGTGACTGACTTGCTGTGAGGAGGCGGAGCCGGGTCAGGGAGGCACGGTGACCTGGAAAAGCGCATCTACCTCTGGCTTCTCCTCCTCGCTCCGCTTCCTGGCTGCCGCGGCCCCTCCAGCTGAGCCGCTGAAGAGACTGAAATTTCTCGTGTGAGCCAAAGTAAACCTCTCTTCCTTGAAGCTGTGTCTCACTGTGCCCCAGCAGTGAGGAAAGTGACTAAGACGCTCCTTTTTGTTTTCTTTGCAGACAAGATCGGGCGCGTTCAGGGTGGTATGGCCGTAGACTTGTTTTCTTTTCATTAAACCCTGGCCCATCACACTGAGTTACAGCCATTTTTTTTTTTTTTTAAAAGATGTGGTCTTGCTAAGTGGCTGCACTGACCAGGATAGACTTAAGCTTATGATCTCTATGGCTCAGCCACCTTGAGTAGGGGGATTCTAAGCATGCAGCACCAGCCACCAGAGGTTTTAGGTTTCACTTAAAATGCTTCTAACCTTTAGATGTGAGGGATTTATGGAGGAAGCAGTGCAATGAAAAATAAACATTTCTTTCCCAAGAGCTGTAGCAACAAAGGTGAATAGAAAACATCCAGGGGGGTAGAAACATACACATTATTTGCTGCAATATTTTCACAAATAAAAGCTGAAGTGCTGCCAGGCATGGTGGTACACACCTGTAATCCCAGCACTTGGGAGGCTGAGGCAGGAGGATTACCATGAATTACCATGAAGTCTGGGTTCCAACTACATAGCAAGACCCTGCCTTGAAAAACTCAAGTGCTGAGTAGCACATTTACATACTACATTAAAAAGTCATCTGCAGCTCCAAGTTGAGAAGCAGAAAATAAAAGCCCAGAAAACAGGCTTCACGCACTGGGTCCAAGCTGGAGGTGAGTGCAGATGTCATGGTTCTGTGATTATTCCAGCATACCGACTCAGCATGGTTCTACGAGGTCACGCCCAGTCACAGAACGTGATTATGACACATGAGGATCCACACATCATATGATGATGCCCAGAGCTTCACTATCCAAATGCCCTGCTTCTGCTGGGTAAGTGAGAGAGCTATACTACTACTTCAGAGTAACGTGCTACTCTTGTTCAACCTGTGGCCCACAGGCTGTACATGACTGTGTGTAACAAAAATTTCTTTAAAAGGACATTTATATACTCATATTCCTTAATGCGTGTATTTTTATGTACTCCTCCACTAGGTGTGGCCCAGCCAAGCCATGTGTGACCGGCCTGAGGGCTAGAGAGTAGACAAGGCCTGGAAATCTAACACCTTCCTAATACAAGCAGGTAGCTGAACACTGCAGTAGCATCCTGTCTCTCAAAGGGTGACGACAGCGGCATTAAAAGCCGCAACGTGTACCATGAACATTAGCCTTCAGCCCTAGTGCTGTATACACAGATACCCTACTGGGTGAAACCCACAGCACGTGCCAAGGTTAAGTTCTGCCATCATGTCTGCAAATATGTCTGAAAATTTTCGTGTCTGAAAATCTTCTAAAATGTGAGCACCAAAAGCTCTAAACTACCTCCTTAAATGTTTTCCTCTAAAGTAGTAGGATCATCTTCACAGAGAGAGAGAGAAAAGAAACAGACAGACACAGAGACACAGAGAGAGAAATACCACAGGGACAGAGGACAAGCTCCTGGGCCCTTACCTTATTCTATAACATACCTAGGAAAAGAGCCAATGACTACAACAAGCACAAATACATGAAACCTGGCGGCAGAGATGTATTTCCTGCTGTTACTACAGGTTGTGAAGAGGTGGGCTGGGGAAATGCATTCAGAGGCCTAGGAAATGTGGCACTCGGAGTTTACTCTCTGTCCAATGCCAAAGCAGCAGGATAATGTGGCCGCTAGTCATGAAATACCTGCACACACATTCTGAAGGACAATTTGAGAAGGACAGCAAGGTGGTTAGGGAAGTGTGAGTGTCAGGGCAACACATGACGGGAGCCTCTGCTCCCAGGAATTCCATGGAGGAAGGAGCAGAGCCCAGCTGGTCCCTATATAAGGAGCTTTGTGGGAGCCCTGCTGTCGCCCTCCCAACAATCTGGGCCAGAAGGGAGAAACTGTCCCACAGGGTGAACTGGCTTGAGATGTAAATACTTACGAATAGCAATCACAGCGAAGGTCACCAGCAATTGCTTCCAAATTTACATCTGCATCCAGTGGAGGTTTGGTGCCATTCTAAACAAGAGAGAGACATGGTTATCACTGGGGTGTCCAAGGCTGATGGGCACCCCAGTCAGGGCAAAGTGGCCTGGCCTCTGACCCAAGGAAAGAAGTCAACTCCTGGGCTGGCGCTGAATCGCCCTTCCTGTTCAGAAGAGAGGGGAGGAAGCACGCTTCAGGTTGGGAAGGCTAAAGGCAAACAGTTTATGCTCATAAAGTTTGAACAATTTGTCAGCCACGGCAAAAGCCAACCCGCACACCAAGAACAAAACCACCCGAGCAGTACCCCCCACAGGCTGATTAGATTTGGGGTACACTGGGGCAGCACTGAGTGTTGGCAGGCACACATGCAGAGTGCAGATGTGAGCTGGCCAGAGAGGCAGCACCACACTGAACCCAGGTGGCTGAGAACAAGAGCAGTAACCTGCTCCTCACTGAGCACCAGCCCTCCGCACCCAACAGGGCCTCGCCGAGCACCTTATCTAAAACCCAACCCCGAGTTTGGAGCCAATTCCCCTTTGGCTCGTAGGAGGAGATGCCAGAAACAACAATGATCAGATTAGTCTCAGATTTCTAACACACAGCACAGTACCATGCACGCAACAGTACACACTCAGTAATGTTCTTAGTGACTTGCACTCCACAGGCAAGCGACAAGGTTTTAAGTGACTTAACATTTGCCACATTACATGGAACACGCGTGAGGGTCTGTTTATGCACTGACTCATAACTTACATATACAGTGCATACACATACTCAGCAGACGTATGAAGTCATTCCACTAAGAGGAGGCACACACGAGGGAGTAAACATTCCATTAACCTACGTCCAGGTGAAAAGAGCCTCACCTTTCCAAGAGAACTAAAGTGAGCAACTTATACTGAAACATGCATGTTATAAACAGCACAATTCGCAATAGCCAAGCCTGGAAACAGCCTAGATGCCCAGCACCAGACGAACGGAAAAAAATGTGGTATATATACACTCAACAGAGTATCACTCAGCCATTCAAAAGAACACCACGGTCCGATCTGCAGGAAAATGGACGCAAACGGAGACCAGCACGTTAGGTGAAATAAGCCACACTCAGTAAAATATCATGTGTTCTTTTATGAACAATCTAAATACACAGGAAGTTTTTAACCCACTCATGCCAGAGACTGAAATTTTTTGAAGTTTTACATGAAGTTTTTCATGTTACCTAGAAAAATAAGAATCTGAAGGGAAAACATTTCCATATGTTCCCTTGCAATGGGTATTCTGAAAATGGATCACTAGGCATTTAAGAGTTAAAAAAGAAAGATGACAGGGAAGTAGGAGAAGGGGATAAGGCAGGTATAGGAAAGTGAGAGAGGAGTAAGAGGGATGAAAATAACCGAAATATGTTATGTGAATGTACCAACATACCTGGATAAATCTCACGCTGTATTACTAATATGCACCAATAAAAAATAATTTTAAAAAAATGTATTGGTCAAACGTGGTGGCGCACACCTGTAATCCTAGCACTTGGAAGGCTGAGGCAGGAGGATTGCTGCGAGTGTGAAGTCAGTGTGGGCTACACAATGAGTTTAAGGCCAGCCTGAACTACATAACCAGACCTTGCCTCAAAAAAAAAAAAAAAACAAAAAAATTTTATAACTTCATCTGCTTATTGACTTTTCTACTTTTTTGTTTCACTGCTTTTTCCTTTAAAAAGCTCTTAAGGTTTTCTTCTAGGAAAGTAAACCCTTTATATAGAGAATAAACATTTACCATAAGTTTAACAATTTCTTCTATTCTGTTCTTTTACGTATCTATCCTTTTAAAAAAAATTTTTAAAAGACACTATATATAGCCTGGAACTTATGGGAATCCTCCTGCCTCAGCCTCTAGAGTGCTCAGATTACAATATGTGCCACTATACGCAGCTCTGAAGTTTCCAATACAGTTAATGTTCCACACTGGAAATATTTCCCTTTATCCGCTCCTTACCATTTACTCAGGGTGGGTGTTCTCCACCCCACCCTGCTGCACATGGAACTTCACAACTAAGTCTGTTCTGGATGCCAGTGCAGAAGGTTTCGCAGCAGTGCAGTCTAGGGTGACTTACTTTCTTCTTAGTTTTTTTGTCTGCACTGCTTATTATTTAAAAAACAAACAAAAAATCTTCAAGCCAATCTTGAAACCTCCACTGGATGCAGATGTACTAGCAACCTAAAAAGCTGGCTTACGCCAACACAGAAGACAGGGTTCAAAATACTGGTTGGCAAAACTCAGTGTTTTTGCTGCTTGTTTAGGACAGACCTATGTCTGTTCACTCTTCCACTCCCTAGTTTCTATTCCACTCCAAGTGTGACCTGATCCTTCTTCTACAGCAATCACCAGAAACCTAAGAACAGCAAAAGCCACTGCAGTGATTATCTTGAGCGCAGCAGGTCAGTATTTAACTTTACATGTCCTTCACTTACTCTACTCATATTTTAAGCAAGCAAACATGAGAAGGGGCAATGTCTTCAATGATCACAGCAGCTCACCTTCCTCTCTGAGAGAGAAACATGGCATATATGTATAGCTACAGAAAAGAAAGCAATCAGCTATTCTGAATTCCCACCTGTCTTAACTGCAGTGAATGAGAGAAACATTCACAAAATGTGCCCCTCTCTTTACTTACTTTTTTTTTTTGTTTTTTTTTTTTTTTTTTTTTTTTTTTTTTTTTTTTTTTTGTTTTTTCTCCGGTACCGGGAACCGAACTCACGACCTTGCGCTTGCCAGGCAGGCGCTTTGCCGCTGAGCTAAATCCCCAGCCCCTCTTTACTTACTTTTGTGATAGTTTTTAAGATGGCTAGACGATCTGCTGGGGGTGGCAAGCCCACAAAGAGTGTTTTGTCCAACCGGCCTGGGCGCAGAATTGCAGGGTCAATGATATCTGGAGAAGGGAGGAAAAACAGTATTATGTAAGTTCAACAGGACAGCGGGCATGATGGTGCCCCGCTGCAAACCCAGCACTCTCAGTTGAGGCAGGAGGATTGCCCCAAGTTCAAGACCAGCCTGGACTACATAGTGAGACCCTGTACCAAAAAATAAACAAACAAAAACATCAAAAAGCACCTTATAAAAATAGAAAATTTGCTTCTGCTTCAGTCCACCATCGAGTGTGTGCTCTTCCCTCTGAGCCTAACCATGTTGTCTCACAAGACTTTCAGAATCACACGATTCCTGGCCAAGAAGCAAAAGCAGAATCGTCATTCCTCAATGGATTTGGATGAAGACTGGTAATAAAATCAGGTATAGCTCCAAGAGGAGACAGTGGAGGAGGACCGAGCTGGGACTGTAAGGAGCTGCGCATGAGCTGCAGCACGTTTACCCTCTCGGAGGTCAGAAGATGATACCCTCTTTACCATGGTCAAGACAGTATCACCGTACCAAGCTTAAAAAGTACCACTGGTTGGACAGAGGAATATACTTCATCAGGAATCTTAAATCTTTTTCTGTGATCAGCATTAATAGATTAACAATAAATATTTGAAACCTTTAAAAAAATTTATGAACTGGACATTATCAAAACTCAAGGGCCAGGGATATAGCTCACTGGCACAAGCACCTGCCTGGCAAGTGCAAGGTCCTGAGTTCGATTCCCAGTACCAATCAATCAATCAATCAATCAAATAAAATTCAAACCTTCTGCTCATCAGTGGTGTTCCAGCACCGTTCAGAGAACCGGCAATCCGTTTCTCCCCTGAATCGCCCTTGTCCTCTGTCAAAGACTCGGGAACCGCAGTGCGTCAGTTATGTCTGGCCTCCGCTGTGCTCCACTGACTCACGAGTCTATGTTTCCAGACTGCCTTGGTAACAGCAGCTGGACATAATTCATTCTTAAAGTTCAATAATCTCAATTCTCCATATTTGTCCTCCTCAAATATTGTACTGGCTATCCCGACTGTTTTTTCTCTTTCATATTAACTTTAGAAAGTCAATGTCCACAAAATAATTTATTGAATTGTGATTAGGATTGATTCAAATCTATAGATTAGCTGGGAAAAACTGACATCTGTCAATACTGAGTCCTCATATCCATGAGGACTTTTATTTCATTACTGAGAACTTCATTTCTTTCATCAGCTTCATAGTTTTCCTCTATAAATGATACATATCGTGTTGAGGTGTGGCAAGCAGTTCTTAGACATGACACTAAAAGCACAAACTCTATCTCCTAAGAGGATGATGAGACAGTTAGAAACTGAGACAAAATATTATAGATGGCATAGGGTCTACATCTCTAATAAATAAAGAATTCTCAAAACTCAACAGTAAAAATAATATGCAGCCCACCTTTAGAAAATGAGAAAAGAACATAAAAGAGATAGTTCACTAAAGAAATTCAAGGGTGGCAAACACATGAAGTTAAATCTCATTAACTACTACAAAAAAATTAAAACCATGATGAGACATCACTACACATCCTCTTACCATGGCTTAAAAAAAACACTGGTGAGGATACAAAGAAAAGGCCTCCTACACGACTGAAAGGACTATAAAATGGTCCACTCTGAAAGAGTTTGACAACCTTCATACAGAATAAACAAATAATTACCACACAACCTAGTAACGGTGCTCAAGAGCATTTGTCCAAAGAAATGAATCTTAGGTTCCCCCTCAGAAGCCTATACACAGATGTTCACTGCAGCTTTATCTGCAATAGTAAAAAGCTGGAAAGAGCAATACGTGACTTTAAAAGGTCACATATTTTATGATTATTTTATACAAACCTCTCGACACAACTAAGAGATGAAGGAGAGATGTGGGCTGGCCTGAGATAGGGAGGGCAGAAGAGGAGGCGCGTGCCACTGGAAAGCAAGCGCATGCATCACTGATGACGAGGCAGCTGTGCCTTGACTGCAGGGGTGATGACACAAATCCACACACCTGCGGCAGTGAACGACGCAAAGGTCTACTTCCCAGTTTTGACACTGTACCAGTTACGTGAAATGTAATAGCTGAGGCAGACTAGCATGTGAAACTTCCAAGTACTACTTTTGTAATCTCCTATGAATTTATTATTGTCTCATAATACAAAGTTAAAAACCAGGAAGCTTCACATTACAAAAGAAAGCCAGACCCATCACACCACTGCTCAAAACATCAGGTGGCTCTCCTGTGTCAGAGTAACACACACACCTCAACCGTGGTTCGAAGAGCCCTCACTCCCCATCACTGCCCCAACATGCTACCCTTCATAAGCACAGGCCTGCTGCCCTACCCTCAAGAGGCCAACCTGTCTCATCCCAGGGTCTTTACCCTTTCCATCCGCTCCCTACCTGGAATGCTTTTCTCTCAGCCTTTTGCATCATTTTTTTCTTAAGGTTTCCAGGAACACAGTGACTAAAATAGCATCCCTTTGCTATGCAGCAGACATTCTCTTCTTGCCACATTTTATTTTCTTTCATGATGTTTGGCTATTACCACTCGCCCAATGGCCTGTTCCTTGTTAGCAAAGCAGAATATATGCAGGAAAAGAATTTTCTGAATGGAGCTCTGAATTTCCAAGATCAACAGTACCAGGCATACCACTGAAGCTCAGTAAGCATTTGATGAAAGAAAGAGGAAAACTTTTAAAGGAGAATACTCTACAGAACTGCGTGACAACACAAACTGTATGGTAGATAGACAACTTGCACAATAAAAGAACATGCTGAAAGAAAAATACAGGTGCAAAAGATTAAAAAATGACCACTTTAAAATGTAAAAATATGCCATTTTATATTCCCATCAATAATGGTACAACAGCTCCAGTTTCTCTGCATCCTCACTAAAGTTTTAAACTCCTATTTCCCCTCCTTGGGAATCTGGGTCTCTCTGTCACCGCCCTAGCCAACAATTCACCTCCTCTGCCGGGCCTTTAAGAGGAATGGAAACAACTTCTACCTTTGTCTCTGCCTTGAAAAATAATAATTAGACACAGGAGAGAGATATAAAGAATCAGAAGGCCCCAGATGCCAGTAAAGAAACCCAACTGGAAGTAGGTCCTGAGGTGCAGTGACTGCAGCTACCACTACGGGGATTAGCAGTGAACTACCCAGACGAGCCCTTTCTAGATTCCTGACCTACAAAATTGTGAACAAAGCAAAAACTGTTATGCAGCAACGGCCAAGCAGAGCATCAGCAAGGAAGCATTTCTTAAGGGGAAGCATACGCCTGCGGTGCAGTGCAGTGCCAGAGCACGTGCCTAGCACGCACAATTTCTAGCACCACAAAAAACAAAAAATTTAAAAAGCTAAGCATGAAATAGATTACAGGCAATAAAAACAATGTAATGCTGGGCATGGTGGTACATTCCCAGCTACCCAGGAGGTTGAAGCAAAAGGATCACAGATTCGAGGCCAGCCTGGGCAACAGCAAGACTCGCTGTCTAAATAAAACTAAAAAGCCAGGGATGTAGCTCAGTTGTAAAGTGCTTGCCCTGCATGCATGAGGCCCTAGGTTCAAGTCCTCAACAACAAAAACGAAAATCAAAACAACGTGACATTGCAATAGAACTGTCAAATGAGTATGAACATGAACAGATCTTTGTGTGTGTGTCCCCACATGTAGCTATCAATATAATGGGGCTCAAAGCGATGAGTGAGGTACAGCAAAGAGGAAGACAATTCACACATACGCAGGAAAGGACAAAGCACAGGTTTCAATTCATCTGTCATTCTTTTTTTTTTGTCTTTTTGAGACAGGGTCTTGCTATGCAGCTTATGCTGGCCTTGTGCTCACTTTACAGCCGAGGCTGCTCTCAAACTTGCAATAATCCTCCTGCCTCAGCCTGCTGAGTGCTGGGATTACAGGCGTGCGTCACCACGCCAGGCATTCATCTGCCATTCTTAACACAGTTCAAACACTGACTGCTACATCCAATAAAGGCTACACAACTAAGAATCTAGAGACTAAATATCCAAGATAAGTGATCAGAGGAAGAAACGTGAAGAAAGGCGATATATGTGGATGTATTGAAAGAAATTTAAAGAAAATCTAGTGATATGGAAGGACTTATATAATCTACTCAGATTAAACTAAAAGATAAAGTGTACAATAAACAAGCACTAAAAAATAGTACCATGAAAGACCAAATAAAGTAGGCTATCTATTTCTGGAGACAAAAGACTACCTTTTTTTGCAATTTGACAGAAAAACATCTGTCTGCTAAGAAAAGACAGGGTGTGACTCTGTCTAAATTTGAGGGACTTTTAAGATTTCTTCCAGGATAACTCTATAGTGTCATGACCTAATGACTATTCTCACTACAAATGCTGCAACTGCTCATGCCCTGGTAACTACTGAGGCTGCCTGCTGTTCACCATCAGTGTGGCAGACACACTACCACACCGTGTAACCTTTGTGACAACCCTACAACTTGTCAGTAAGATCAAGTAATACAGGTACAAGGTGTCTGTCATATAATAAAAAATATAGCTGGGTTTTGCCAATGGTTCCTATGAAGAACCTCAAGATATCTGAATTTTCCTTGTGACATTGTGACTTCGTTGTGCTAACGAGGTAACTCAGGATGATCACCCACGTAGCTTCAGAATGGTGACTGGTTACAACAAAAGACCAAACATGGGAATTTGGAGTGTCCCTGGGGAGAGACTGAGTTCAGTCATGTGGCCAATGAGTTAACCAAACATTGTCTACATGGTGAAATCCCAACAGAAACTCTAGACCCCAAAGCTTGATCAGTGTCCCAGCTGGTGAACACATGGACATGCTGAGAGCTCTGCGCTCTATGTAAGCCTTGGTAATAAAACTAACCCTGAGGAGACCGCTGTCCGGAGGGCCGTAAGTTGTGTTCCAAGAACTCCATTTGTGCTGGCCGTCAAGCGAGCACAGCCTTTGCAGAATGACTGATGACTTTACAATCTCAGCATGAAAGCACAGTCTACCTAGTGTTAGACCCGCTAGTAAGACGTAGGAGCTGCAGCTCGAGCTCGAACCTATTCGTCAGATTCCAGGGGCAGTATTCGTTATCACCTGAGTCAAACTATAAACCCTCACTGTGACAGCGAACCTTTCAGAGACTGAGTGCCCAAACTGCAACCCCAAAACAACCATTTACCCCAAAGTGCCAACACTGCAATTAAACCTAGCCTTTGGCTGATGCGCCAACATGGGGGCACCTTGACTCGTGTGCCCACACAAAAGGGCTCTATGTACCCTCTGTGGCATGACACTTCATGCATAGGTTCTCCATCACTGCTAACAATTGTCAATTTTTTTCACTATAAAATAGAACGCAACTAATTCATCAAAGTAACTTACATGAAATGAAAAATTATATCAGCTTCAAAACTGGCAAATCCTTTTAAGCAACCACATCATTACTAGGACAGTTAACCAGAAACATCACAACCAACAGCTATGAAAGAGTGGGTCACATCGAGGGCAAAGTATCAAGCACTAAGAAGAGAATTTCGGATTCAAAAGAAAAGAAAATGTGACATTGAGCATGTTTGAATTTTTTTTCTTTTTTTTTCCCCATTTCTTTGAGACAAGGTCTCACTGTGAGACTCAGGCTGGCCTTGAACTCATGGTGATTCTCCTGCCTCAGCCTCCCGAGTACTTGGATTACAGGTGTGTGCCACCACACCCAGCTACTTTTGAATTCTTGAGCTTTTCCTGTGTCCCACAGAATGCATGAGTTTGAAAACAATTATAAATCATAATTAAAGACAGATATAGGGGCATGGTTCCACTACAAAACTTAAAAATCTTCAACTTGCAGATAGGGTGAAGAGTCATTATAAGCCTGAGAGAAACCACAAGCCAAATATACTTTTGGGATCAGAAATGTGTCTAACTAGTGTTCTCTGCCAACAAGAAAACTTTCTAAGTACCGACATACACACAAAAAATCAGCAGTACACTTTTTATTACAGCTTACACAAAACTTTAAAAAAGCTTCATTTAAACTCATGAACCAAAAAGATATTGCCCTCATTTACTCTTTCTTTGCTAGAATGTATGTCAATCATATTGCACAAAAGCTCCAAGTTTTAGATTAGTCTCTGAGATGGTCTTCTTTCTTACCTGGCCTGTTAGTGGCTGCCATGATAAAAACCTGCTGACGGGCTTCCAGACCATCCATCTCTGTAAGTAGCTGATTCACCACCCGGACACTTGCGCCAGCCTAAAATAAAAACAAATCAGGGGCTGGGGATTTAGCTCAGCCGCACAGCGCCTGCCTGGCAAACGTGAGGTCATGAGTTCGATTCCAGGTACCAGGGAAAACAAAAAACAAATCAGTATACTTCCATCAGCCTTCAATATAAAAGGAGAAAAACAACATTTTTTTTTCTGTACAAATAATATATTTGCTAACTTGAATGAAGGCTTCTCTCAAAGGTAACTAACAGTGGCTAGGCACAGTGGTGACGTCCCTGACATTCCAGAGGCTTGAGGCAAGAGGACCACAGGTTTAACGTCAACCTGGGCAATAGCAAGATCTTCTCTCCTTTTTTTTTTTTTTGGTTTTTCTCTGGTACGGGGAACCAAACTCACGACCTTGCGCTTGCCAGGCAGGCGCTTTGCCACTGAGCTAAATCCCCAGCCCCCTCTTCTCTCCTTTTTAAAAACAGGGGCTGGGGATTTAGCTCAGCGGCACAGCACTTGCCTGGCAAGCGCAAGGTCGTGAGTTCAATTCCTGGTACTGGAAGAAAAACAAAACAAACAAATAAACAAACAAACAAAAACAAAGGTTAACTATAAGCATTCGTAAGGTCGCTCTACAGGAAGGCACTGTTGCCACACACTGTTAAAGGAGACCTCCTGTAATCCCGCTGTTACTCACTGCCTAGACAAGCGAACTGAGACACAGAGAGGCTGTACTACCGGAAAAGGGAAGGGTTTATTCACAGCAAAAGAAGGGAATAAGAAGGAGTAAAACCCAGACACATTATGCCTGACCAGCTCGACAAAGCAAAGTGCAATGCTCTGCTCTGGACTCCACAGGAGACTTCTGAATAGGACAGGGAGCCATGGAAGAATCTCTGCCACCACCAGTGACATCACTATCAGAGAAGAAATGCGAAACAGAAGACCATGATGGTGGGGACCGTGATGGTAGGGAGACAAAACACCTGAGGCCGGTTTTATAACAGCTTACTATACATGCTAAAATCTAAATCACAACTTAAGTTTTTGCAACTTATGAGTGTTATTGAAGATTTTAAGGGAAATAAGGGAACAAATGTTTTACAACTGAAGAGCACCCCCCCATAACAACATTTATAATTAAACTACGGAAAGTTTCTGGGGTACTTATTAAATAGTGATGTTCATCTGTTCCCCAAAGGCAATAAATTCTTAATGTTATGCTTCAAATCTCCACATAACCGTACTCCTGACAGCAGCTGTTTCTGCCACTCTCTGTACCAAAGTGTTTAAGAAATGGGGTTAGTACAAGTGCTACACAATGCAAATGAGTATCTTCTCCAGACAGCAGTGACACTAGGTTTTAAAGCTAATAACCTATCCCTAATTTGAGTGCTCAATGTCTTAAATTGTATTTTGCCTGTTTCAAGAACTTTAACTGAGAGATATAAAACTACAAGATTATAAGGGCAAGTATTCAAAATTACTATCACTTCCATTCCCAAGTACTCATTTATGTGAGTCAGGATCACCAAACTATTAAGCAACCAAAATAATACATGATATAGGCAGATTAGAAAACTTATCTCTGAGCTCTGATTTCAGATTACTAGGTCTCTTCATTAAAAGAATCAGCATGTTCCCAAGGAAGGACTTTACAATTAGTACCTGTCTGGGAACCTACAAAAGATTCATGATGTGTAAAAACATCTATAAACAAGCCAGTGTGATTGCAGGAGGACAAGTTTGAGCGCAGCCTATGAAATTTACCAAGACCTGACTAAAAATTTTAAAAAGGGGGGCACCCAGTGTGAAGGCCCTGGGTATAATCCTAGTACTGCAAATAATTAATAAGAAAAACTACCACTGTAATATTTACCTCTCTGTCTGACCTTCGAGGACACAATGCGTCCATTTCATCAAAGAATATCACACAAGGTGCGGAGTTCTTGGCTCGTTGAAAAACCTGTCGCACAGCTCGTTCACTCTCACCAACATACTAAACACACACAAAGAAGAAATAAAATGTAAAAATGAACCTTGAGATTTGGGCCAAATAGTAGTAAACCTAGTTTTAATTCACATTTAGATGTCACAGTCCAAAATGCATTAAACCATACATAAGTACTGATACTGAACCATTATTAATATAAAAGTAGCTAATTGTGTATGGTTCATCTCAGTGTAATTAGCTACTATGCAAGCTTATTACAAATTTCCTCGTCATAAAATGAAGACCAGGATACAAGGCGCTCTCTAGCTCAAAAACTCCCATAGTTCTCTTTGTGTTTCATCACTGATATCCTATGCTTTACACATACAGTGATTTTCATTAATTCAACAGTATTTTAATGTATACAAAGCAAATTACCATCCCATTCTTATTTTTAATATTTGTCATACAGCAGAAGATTCACAGTGAACCAATCAGGTATCTTACATGTTTTATAATAGCTTACTATATATGCTAAAACCTAAATCAAAACTTAAAACACCAAGACTAGTAGTAATATCAGGACTAAGTACTATGAAAAATTGTATGTAATAATAACATGGTTTCAGTTTTTAGCTGGGCATTAAGAAATTATTCTTACAAAATTTCAACCTACCTGACATAGAAAAAGCGGTTATTTGTTAATCAAACTGCTAAGGCGGGATCCAAAAATCACCTTTGTAATACCAACTATTCTAAACTATCATGTAATTATTTAATGACTACATGACTATAACAATCAAAGGAAAAGCCAGGTACGACAGTGCACACCACCTATAATCCCAGTACAGGGGAGACTGTGAGGCAGGAGGTTCACCACAAGTTTGAGGCCTGCCTGGGCTACATAGGACTTCAAGGGCAGCCTGTACTACACAGCAAGTCTCTGTCTCAAAAAAAAAAAATCATCAAGGCAAAGACCTAACATCATATATGACAGTTGTTGGCCCTGGACTCACTGGGTAGCCCAGGCTGGCCTTGATATTGAGGTGATCCTCCTGCCTCAGGCTCCTAATCTGCCTCCAAACATTTCTTCTTACATTCTGAAAGGTCCCCATCAATTATTTTTCCTATTAATATGTACTTTACTCTTACAACATTTTATATTATTACAACATTTGAACTCTTCTACTTTCATTATAGTATAAAGTCCTTGGGTAGCTGAAGTAATGTCTTTTACAAAGTTTTCTCTCTCTCAACATCTTGTATAATGTAAATATAAACTAATTTTCCTTAAAAATTTAACCTAGCAAAACTATATTTGAAATAGTGAAACAAAATACAATACTTAGTTGATCGGTTGATTGACTGATTCATTCATTTATTGGATCAAGATCTCTGTATAGTTCAGGGTGGCCTCAAACTCATGACCATCCACCTTTCCCTGCTTCCTGAGTGCTGGTATTGCAGACATGTGCCTCCAATACCAGCTGGGCGGAGGCACAATGTACTTGGATGAGTATGCAATCTTACCTCCCCATTGTAATTTTACCTCCCACATGCCCAGCACGTATGTGCCTCCACCCAGCTAGTACATATTTTAAAGGAAATTCGAGTAACAGTGAGTTGAAACAGTTTAAGGCAGGGATGGAAGACAGCAATGAACGTAACTGGAAAGACACTGGATACAGCAAACACAAATGATCAAATGAAAGAAAATTTAGTGAAGGGCAAGGTAAACAAAGTTTCAAAAGGGCAGATTAAAAGCAATTTAATCTCAAACAATGTAATAGCGATTAAAAATAAGCAAATAAAAGAAAATCTCTCCTTGGACTAGGAGAAGCAGCATTTCAAGTTAAGGCCCTATTGTTACCATCCTTCTTTACGAGCCATTCAGTTTGCAGCCATGATGATCTGGTTTTGGCAAGGCCCACTACTGAGGAAGTTCTCTTGGACTGGGCAAATGCAGAGCTCTACTCGCGTCCCTTCCACACCCTCTGGTCACTCTGACAGTTTTGGTTTGGGGGCTGAGAGTCTTGAGAACACTTTTGGTCCCCTTTCCAGTGCTTGCTTCTTTCTCCTGAACTATCGACACCCTCAGGGTTGCCAGTGGCCCCCAACATACTGGCTCTAGCAGAACTTGTTTGCCCATTTCCAGAATATTAGGCACTACTTGGCTGATACTGACTCCCAACTCTCCTCAGAGCTCCAGACTGATTCCCTACTATCCGCAGGACAGGACACTCTCAAATGGCTCCTTAAAACGTCCCAGAGCAAATCCATTTCCCAACCCCAAAATGTCTATGTCTCTCCCTGGTCACATCATCTAATCAGCATCTCAGAGTCACTCTCGACTTATCCACAGAGATCTTCCCCTACTGACCCCGAAAAAGCAAACCAGAATGCAATGGGGAGGTAAAATTGCATACTCATCCCACTGGCAATGAAAGGAACAATCTGACACCATTAGTGCTGTGAGGATGTGAGAAAATCTGACACAACTATTTCATGAAAAAATGTTGCAATACATAGTATTTTTCAAAGCGTATATAGTCTAAGGCACAGCAACTCCACTTACAGGTATTCTGTATACTTTATAGGCAAAAATCCTACAAATATCAAGTATATATGAATACAATGTTCAACCTAAATACAGGAGAAAAAAATCAAGAAAAAGACTTGATTTTTCAAAAAGTGTGGTTATACTCATTCAATGCCACACCAAGCAGAAAATTAGCAAATTCAAAGTAAATGTAGCAGCAAAGATAAATATAAATATACTACAAAAACAATCAAACTACCCTGCAAAAGAATACAAGTCTTATGTAACACAGTTCCAAAAATTACTGTGTAAACACAGTAGCGTATACATATGAGTCTCATATGTATCTACCACCCCAGCTTCAGTTATCACCAACTCAACCAACTAATGCTGAGTCATCTATATCCCTTTCTGATTTTTTCCTTCTTTCTTCTTTTGAAGTAAATCTTAGATACCATATTTTATCTGTAAATCTCTCATTATCTCTGAAAAATAATGATTATAATATAACATCATCACACTTAAAAAATTATTTACTTGGGGCTATGCATGTTGCTCAGTGGTAGAGTGTATACTCAGTATGTACAAGGCCCTGGTGTTTTATCCTCAGCATTACTACCACAAAAAAAAAAAAAAAAAAATACACACACTCGAATTTCCAACTGTCTCCTAAGTTTCGTACTTTAAAGCATATTATGTAGGGATAATTATGTATACAGTGAATACAGAAAAAAATGCATCCTCAGCCACCCCCACCCCTTGAATTTTGGGATAGGTTCTTGCTTCGTCAGCTAGACCAGGCTGGCCTTGAATTTGTGATCCTTCTGCCTCAGCCTCCCAGAGTGCTGGGATTAGACATGTACTCAACTCTTTCTAATTTGAAATATTGTTGGGAGCGGCTGAAGTTGGAAAGTAATTATGCACGCAGGACGAAGCCAGCCTGAGAACACGGGAGCTCCTCAAAGCATGTAAACAAACTACTGCAGCTTGTTAATTGATTGCTGGGTAGAGAGGATGAAATTAGTATCAACCTCTGGAGGGTATAAATAAAGGCTCTACTGTTCTTGGGCAGATCTTCTCGGCTTACGAGAGAGAGAATCTCCACCTGACCCAACTTTTTGTCTCTTGTGTGTATTTTCCTCATTCCCGCCGCTGTTCCTCCTTGCGGTACAGCAAGAGCACGAGTCATGACAAAATACAAACTTTAAATATAGAAGGAAAATTTATGGCATGTGAGCCACACCACAGGACACAGTGAGCACACCAGGAGCCAGACCGTGCGGACTCAAGTCTCAGTTCCACCACAATACTTCCGAGCTGTCAAACTCTGGCAACTTACTGAGCCTCTCCACACTGAGGTTTCCTTTCCTGTGTACTGGAGGAGAGGACAGCTTGTACTTCATAGGGCGATTCAACGATAATGGATGTCAATGTTTTGACAAATATATGGTACAGAGTAAACACATTAAAATGTTAGTAAAAATAGCAATGAATTATATCTACTTTGCAGGCGCAGAAACATACCACAAGTAATAGAGCACACAGCAAAACTCAACCTCTTCAACTACAGCAGTGAGTCTATCAAAACACCACAACTGCCCGGCCTCGTGGTTCCCTGGAAGGAGGGCTTCCGGCGCACAGGGAGCTGCGGGTGGGGAGCGCCAGCCTTCTGGCTGGCTAGCTTCCTGCCTGCTGGCTCCCGGAGG